CCCCCCCCCCCAGTGACCAAGACCAACCTGTCGGTGCACGAAGACAAGAACCGGGTTCCCTATGTCAAGGTGAGGAGTGGCTCAGAGGGTGCCTTGGGTGGGGGACCCCAAGGGGCACCCCCAGAGTGGGGGCTGGGGCCTCACCCCCCCCACCCTGCACCCACAGGGCTGCACCGAGCGCTTCGTCTCCAGCCCCGAGGAGATTCTGGATGTGATCGATGAGGGGAAATCCAACCGGCATGTGGCTGTCACTAGTGAGTGCCCTGGGGACATGGCGGGGGGCCAGGCGATGGTGGGGGTGGGCAGAGTGGGGTGGGGGGATCACTGCTATGCAGGGTACTGTGGGGTGTCTGGGGTGCTGGGGAGTTCTGGGGTACCATGGGGGTCCCTGCGGTGCTGGAGGGGTCATTGAGGCAACATAGGGGTCCCTGGGATACTGGGGGGGGGGGTCTGGGGCACCATGGGGGTCCCTGGGGCACCGTGAGGGTCCCTAGGGCATCACGGGGGTCTCTGCAGCCTCATGGGGTCCTTGGAGCATTGTGGGCTCCCTGGGGTGCTGTAGGGCCCCTGGGGTGCTGTAGAGGCCATTGGGCCACCATGGGGGTTCCAGGGGCATTGGAGGGGTCCCTGGGATGCTGTAGGGTCCCTGGGGTGCTGTAGGAGTCATTGGGGTGCCATGGGGATCCCTGGAGTATTGTGGGGGTCCCTGCGGTACTGTAGAGATCATTGGGTTCCCTGGGACATCATGGGGTCCCTGGGGCATTTTGGAGTCCCTGGGGTTCTGTAGGGTCCCTGGGGTGCTGTAGAGGTCACAGGGCTCCCACGGAGTTCCTGGGGAATCCTGGGGGCCCTGGAGTGCAGTGGGGGACTCCTGGGGGCACTGGGGGGTCTCTGGGGCATCGTGGGGTGCTGCAGTGGTCCCACGGGGGTGCGGGGGTCCCCGGGAGCTGGAGGCATGGGTGTGCAGCCTCTCCCCATGCCCGCAGACATGAACGAGCACAGCTCCCGCAGCCACAGCATCTTCCTCATCAACATCAAGCAGGAGAACGTGGAGACGGAGCAGAAGCTCAGCGGGAAGCTCTACCTGGTCGACCTGGCCGGGAGCGAGAAGGTCAGGGGGTCCCCAGCACTGAGGGACCCTGAGGGGCTTGGGCTGGGAGGGTTCTGGTGGGGGGGGGTCATCTTTGGGGGACCCTGGGCTTGGGTATGTGGGATTGGGGGGTCTCTGGGGCAACTTGGGAGGAGGGTGTCCCCAAGGGGGACATTGGGAGGGTGGGAGTCTGTAGGCTGTGGGACATTGGGGTTAGGGGTCTTCAGGCTGGGGTGGGGGTCTTTGGATGAAGGCCCTCTGGATTGGGGATCTCTGGGGATCTACTGGCTGGTGGCATCCTTGGGTTTGGGGGTCTTGGAGGGGTTCTTGGGCTGGGGGTGTCAGTGGGGTGGAGGTCCCTGGGGTAGGGGTGGCCCCATGGGGGTCTCTGAGCTGCCTGGCCCCACAGGTCAGCAAGACGGGGGCTGAGGGGGCCGTGCTGGATGAAGCCAAGAACATCAACAAGTCGCTGTCGGCGCTGGGCAACGTCATCTCGGCCCTGGCCGAGGGCACGGTGAGAGCCCATGTGTTCCCCCTGCCAGCCCCCCCACCTCTGCTCTGCCCCATGGACCCTGGGGCTTGGGGGGGACCATGCTGAGCTCCTGTGCCCCCCCCCGCAGAAGGCCTACGTGCCCTACCGGGACAGCAAGATGACAAGGATCCTGCAGGACTCGCTGGGGGGGAACTGCCGCACCACCATGTTCATCTGCTGCTCCCCCTCCAGCTACAACGATGCCGAAACCAAGTCCACCCTCATGTTTGGGCAGAGGTAGGGGAGGGGCCGGGGGGTATCGGGGTGCCCCTGCACCCCTCTGCACCCCTCTGCACCTCAGCTGCACCCCAGCTGCACCCCATGCACCCGTTGTGTCCCAACTGTATCTCAACTGCACACCATGTACCCGTTGCACCCGAACTGCACTTTAACAACACCCATTGCACCCCAACTTCACCCCATGCACCCATTGCACTCCAACAGCACCCCATGCACCCCAGTTGCACCCTATGCACCCATTGCACCCCAACAGCACCCATGGCACCCCAATTTCACCCCATGCACCTGTTGTACCCCAAGAGCACCCCATGCACCCCAACTGCACCCTATGCACCCTTTGCACCCCAACTGCACCCCATGTATCCACTGAAAACTGGCTGCACCCCGACAGCACCCATTGCACCTCAACAGCACCCCATGCTCCTGTTGTACCCCAACTGCACCCCATGGGCTCATTGCAACCTGACTTCACCCCATGCACCCCAAGCACCCATTGCACCCCAACTGCACCCCAACTGCATCCCCCGCACCCCCTGAGGGGGAAAAGAGGCTGCATTGGGGGTCCCCAGACCTGGGAGGGGAGTGGGGGCAAGGTGGACCCTGAGATGAGTGGGCACCCTCAGGGGTGTCCCTGCGGGAGGCTGCCTGGAAAGGGGGAGCAGGAGGGGTCCCGGCTGAACGATGTCCCCCCCATCTCCATCCAGGGCCAAGACTATCAAGAACACGGCATCGGTGAACCTGGAGCTGACGGCCGAGCAGTGGAAGAAGAAGTACGAGAAGGAGAAGGAGAAGAACAAGGCGCTGAAGGAGACCATCGGGAAGCTGGAGGCCGAGCTGAGCCGCTGGCGGAGTGGTGAGGGGGGACCCTGGCATCTGGGAGGGGACCCCATCCACCTCGTCCCAGCACTAAATGGGGAAACTGAGGCCGTGTCCCTAGGTGAGGCCGTGCCGGAGACGGAGCAGCTGAGCGGGGCCGAGGCGGAGGCTGGGACAGGCGAGGGGATGGGTGAGGGGACAGGGACAGGACCCTCCGACGAGACCCCCCTCAACGACAACAGCTCCTCCATCGTCATCCACATCTCTGATGAGGAGCGCCGCAAGTACGAGGAGGAGATCCGCAAGCTCTACAAGCAGCTGGATGACAAGGTGGGGACCCCCCCCAGACCCCTCCCTGGGTCCTCTGGGGACCCCCAAAGACCCCTCTAGACCTGCCAGGGACCCCCCAGGACCCCTGAGACTCCCCAGGACCCTTGGGAACCTCCTAGGGCCCCCAGCATCCCCCAGGACGCTCAGCATCCCAGGATGCCCAGGATCTCCTGGCAGCCTCCAGGACCCCCCCGAGGCCCCCCCTCCGCCCCCAGCCCCTTGGGGCTGGCCGGTGCGGACCCTCCTGTCCTCCCCCCAGGACGATGAGATCAACCAGCAGAGCCAAATCATGGAGAAGCTCAAGCAACAGATGCTGGACCAGGAGGAGGTGAGCCCCCCCCCAGCCCCCATGGCCCCCCATCTCCATCTGACTGACCCTGGAACCCGCTGGTGGGACCCTGGAATGATCCCCCTGGGCCCCCACCCAGACCGCCTGGGGCCCGCTTGGACCCCCACCCTGACCACTTGGACACCTCCACCCTGAGTACTTGGACCCCCC